TCTGTAAACTACAAGCAATGAGAAAATAAGATAATATCCTTGTTTCCATGTGGGTTGTTAGTCTGATTTTAGCCATTTTAGTAGATAGTGAAGTACTGAAATTGTTAATGGTTTTAATGTGCGTTTTCCAGATGACTAAAGATAGCCCTCGATATGGCAACATACCCTGTATCCCTAGAAAATGGAAGGCTGAGGCAGGAGGATTGAGTGCAAGGCCAGTTTGAGGCCAGCCTGGACTACATACACTTTCCAAGAATGTATAATGAGCACTTACAAATGCAGTTTTTCAGAATGATAGTAAATGTCTTTTGGGGGAGAAGCAGTGTCAGGGATTTAATCTAGGACCTTGAACAATCTCTACCACTGAGCTACATCCCCAACCCCCATAGTAAATACTTTTTGGATTTTTTGGTGGTCTTAAGGATGTAACCCAGGCTTAGCACCTCTGAGGCAAATACATACCACTGAGCTAAACCCCCAATCCATAAACATCTTAATAAAAGCATATATGAATTTTATCATTGTATATGGATCTAAACCTATGAATTTGAATTGTAAGATCAGAGGTTAATTTATAATTGAAAGTGATCTGAGGAACTATCCAAGTAAAAGATTTTTTAGACATACCATATAGAAATGATAATTTATACTGATTTCTTAGAGCTAAGTAAACATTTACTATTGATTCCTATGAGCGTGACAAAAGGAAAGCTTCGGCCTGGGTTTTATAGAGCTATTTTTTAACTTGGTATATGGATTCATTGGTTAAGGAACACTAAACTTTCAAGGTCTGATTGAGAAACTATTTTTTATTTGAGCCACATGTGTAAACTGAAAGTCTAGTAAGGCATCAGAATGAAATAATATGTATATAATAATACTACAGCTAATTCTGTATTCCAGTAATTGTTCACCTGCACTGCCCAATTTAATTCTTATCATAACCCTTTGTATTATTATCCTTACATTTCAGATAAAGAATCTGAAGTACGAGAATAAGCAATTTCTCAAGATCATAGAGCAAGTGGTAGAAACAGGAATTCAAATGTAGGTTTTTGGCTCTAGGTTTCCTACTCTACTTTTAGTATTACAGTGTTTAAATTCAAGGCAACCAATTGTGTCATCTGTTTAGAGCATATTATAGTGTAGAAGTGATGGCCCAAGTTTAAGTTGGGATTTCTGAGTTCAGAAATAGACTGTTGTCTTTGTCTTTACTCCCAGTATTCCTGTCATGTATTCCAAGGGTCATTTATGGAAAGAGAGTTTTATGTGAATTAACAGATGGTGAATAATTTAGAAACTTGAGATTAAGAGCTTTCTAGAGAAAAAGTCATTCTTTCTACGAGTCTTCTCTTATAATTACATGTGACTTTGTTGATCAATAGTTGTTTAACTGATCTTTGGAAAAATGTTTGAATGTTTACAGTTAACATCCTCTAGAAACAGAGTGTGATGGAATACTTGATGAAAAGTATTTGGCCTAAATTATTGACCCTAACATAACACTTACCAGTTAAGAGTTCACTAAAGGAAGAGGTTTTATATATAAGGATTTGCAATGGTTGCCTGTGAGTCAGGGATGGAAGAATGAAAAGTGGTCTTCACATAGCTGGCTTTGTTGGCACATGCCCACAATCTCAGCACTTGGGAGACTGGTGCAGGATGATTGCTGTAAGTTCGAGGCCTGGGCTGCATAATGTGTTCAAGACCAGTCTGAACTTAGTGAGACTCTGTCTCAAAAACTGAAAAGACAAAACAAAGGCTATCTGCATGGTGGACAGCTGGAGGACCCAGTCAAAAACTGAAGTCTTTGAAGCTCACGGCAGAGTCCTGTGGGAGTCCCTAACCGAAGGGTCTGAAGGGTCTTTGTTAGAGGTCAGGAGTCTGTGCTGGATGCCTCAAGGAACTGGAGACATATTCAGAGGTGATGGTGAAGACTGTAGCACTTCCAAAGCACAAAGGCCAGACTTCTTCCTTTCCTTTTTATTTCATCCAGGCTATAAGCTATGCATATCCAGGGTGGGTCTTCCCTTTTTGTTTTGTGGCTTACAAGTCATCCAGACACCCCCAGAACTCTGCTGCACTGATGTGCTAGGCATTTCTTAATCCGTTCTAGTTGACACCACAATCAACTATCACAGGTACCTAAATACTTGATATTTATAGATGCTTATATCTGTGGCACAAGCACAGTGTTTGTTAGCCAAATATAGTAGTACACACCCGTAATCTCAGTAACTCGGAAGCTGGGCCAGGAAGTTTGTGAGTTTGAGGCCAGCCTGGGCTACACAGTGAGTTTGAGGCTACCTTGAACTACACAGCAAGATCTTATCTTAAAATCCAAAAACAAAACAAGAAAAACAAGAAAAACTTTTTTCTTTTTGAAGTCTCTGCATACTGAAACCATAGAACTACTCTTTGGCATTAGTTTAGTTTAGAGAAGATTAATTTTCCAGGGGAGGGCTAGAAATTTTGGCCAACTGACTTAAGAGGATGTAGGAATCAAAGTACATGAAAATATGTATTAGCTCTTTCCTTCATCACATCTTTTGTGTCTTCTTGTGACTTCTGATTTGGTGTTATTGTTGCTATGATGAATGATATATAGAACTTCAGGTGAATCAGAATGTTGAAGTGTATTGAATGAGTGAATGTAAGTTCATGAAGGAAAAATTATAAGGTAGGAGATTGATTTCTGTGCAGACACACTCCATATGATTTGTCTAAATGTCTTCTCTGGTATAAAATGATGGTATTAAACTGGATGATCTTTGAGTTTTTTTGATGATGAACTATTTCAGTTATTCTAAATATTACAGGGAATGCAATAATAACTATAATTTTTTTCTAGTGCTGAGGATTGAAGGGCCTTGGGCATGATAGGCAAGTGTGGTACCACTGAGCTTATGCTCCTAGCCCCTACCATTTACTTGTATTTATTTATTTATGGTACTAAGGCCTTCACATTGAGTACATCCTCTGCCATTTTTATTTTGAGACAGGGGTCTTACTGAGTTGCTAAGTTGCCTTGCCCAGGCTGAGCTCAACGTGATCTCTTGCCTCAGTCTTCCAGAGTGCTGGGATTATAGGCATGTGCCAGTAATACCTACATCTTTTAGTAGCATCCATTCCTCATTTTTTTTTTTTGAGGAGTAGAATATACTTACTGAGAGAACTTGTGTTTGAGAGAGACAGAAGGGGACCCGGGTGGGTTGCTTCTCCTCATTTATCTTAAATGAGGATCTTAAATGAATATATACATGCATATGTGCATATGCATACTTACACATATGTGTATGTGCCTGTTTTATGCTCTTCACAGTATTTGTCTGCCTTTATACCAATACTACATTATCTTATTTATTGTAGCTTTATAAGAAGTCTAAATGTCTGGTATTGTAAGGCTGCATTCCTGTTATTCTTTAAAATTATCTTGACTATTCTTACAAATCTCTCTTGACCTTTAAAATTCTGTGAGGTGGGGTGGTGTTTTGTTTTGTTTTGTTTTGCTTTTATTTGTGGAGCGGATTCAAACTTATGGTCCTGTACATGCTAGGACCACATCACAGCTAAATTTCCAACACTGTTTATGATTTTTGTATGTTATACTTTGGGATTGCTTGTACTCTGTGGGGTTTGAATGATAATCAATATATTCTTATTGGATAAATACAATGAACAACCAGTTATACTATATACAGCCTTATATATAACAGAGGTATTGCAAGTTATTATCAGTAAGAGTATGACTACACTTTCAAGAGTGGTGTTAAAACACCTGGCCTTTAAATTACAATTTGGGCCAAGCATAACTGAGTATCTTGGAGTCTATCCTTTCTGCACTTTCCTTTTATTCTGTATTCCCTTTGGGTAGAAGTTTGTTTGGAAAGAATATGGTTTTTAATTGTTTACACAGGTAGTTTATTTTTTATTTATTTACTTTGTTTGGTCTTTGAGATACGGTCTCATTATGTAGCCCAGGCTGGTCTTACACTCATGGGGTTCCTCCTGCCTCAACCTCCCTAGGGCTTGGATTACAGGCATGTGCTACCATGGGCTGTTAAAACTTCCTCGAGCTGATGATACAATTCAGTGTTAGTGTACTTGCTTACTGTGGATGAGGCACTGATGCAGTCAAGCTACCTATAAATCATGATAAATTCCACATGAAATTGATGAAATATGCTTTTTAATGAATATCTTTTGCTTTAAAACTATATGAAAGCCAGCATGTGGAAATTAGAACTGGAAAGGACATTAGTTATCATTTACTTGACTAATTTTATGGTGGATATAGCTGATGTCTATCATGTTCACTGAGCACTTTCTTTCCTCTTTTCTAACTATAAAGATCCCAGTAGGACTTTGCAGTTCCTCGTGCTGCACCTGCGTGAATCTTTCTGACCCCTCCCTTTGTCTTTTGCCTTTCCCTTTTATATCTCTTTCTTAAGGTAGTCTGCTTTGAGTGCTTTTGTTTTCTGTCCAAGCCACAGTAGAACCCTCTTTTTTCATGAGGACTTTTTTTCATCACTTTCTCCACATTTTATTTTTGTCTTTCAATTCCATATCATTTTGCACTAGTGTTTTACGATATAGTTTTTGCTTTTCATTCTAGTTTTATTACATAATAATCATCATACATATTTACCTTTCTAGATAGTGTACTGGGAACATGATCCTTGTTACTTTGACCTGTTTCTTGTAATTTCCTTGTATATAATGAGTCCTCGGTGAATTGAATTCGTGTAATAAATTTCTGTTCTCATAGGGCCTAAAATGCCTTAAAAGGAGATCCACAATAAGAAGATCAGCAAATAAATATTTAGGGAAATTGCCATGTAAGAATATACAGTGGCAAAAATAATGGAGTAGTTTTGATCTTGTTGAAACCACATTTAAGGCTGATGTTTACATTAATATGAAGGATTAGAAGGAGCCACTATGCAGAAAGCTGGAGGTAGGACATTTATTTTTGTCTTTTGTCTTTTTCGTTTTTATAGGTACCAGGGATCGAACTCACGACTGCCTGCTTGCAAGGCAAGCGCTTATGCCGCTGAGCTAAATCCCCAGCCCCTGGTAGGACATTTTTTTAAGGAGATAGAAAATTGTCTGCGGGTGGGAATGGGTTTGAATTTTTGAGAAAATAAGTGAGACTACAGCTTGCATGTGGTATGTGGGAAGAGCACTGCCCCTCACCCCCCAGGGGTGAGGATTAAAAACCTAGGCCCCTGAACATGTAAGGTGAGTATTTTATTCCTGGGCTACACACCTCCAGCTTTTTTTAAAATAAGGTTTTGAGTTAAGATCTTGTTAAGTTTGCTCAGGTTGGTCTGAATTTGAGCTCCTGCCTTAGCCTCCTGAGTAGCCGGGAACCCAGGTGTACTACCACTCCTGGCTTATTTATTTATTTTTGGTACCAGGGATCAAACTCATGACCTCGTGCTTGCAAGGCAGGCGCTTATGCCACTGACTGAGCTAAGTCCCCAGCTGGCTTTTATTTTTTAAAGTAATTTTTCCTTTTGTTTTTGTGATGCTAGGGATCAAACCTAGTGCCTCACACAAGCAAGGCAAGCTTCCAGCCACTAAACCACATTCCCCAGTATGGGACTAACTTTAAAATGAGGTTAGGTAGGTGTGAAGAGTCTAATCATGTAGTGCCTAGAAAGGAATTTAGATTTTAATCAAAATGTAATGGGATACAATTGAAGGATTTAAGCAGGGGATAACATGAATAATATTTACCTTTACATTTTTAAAGATCAAGTTTGCTAGCTGTTATTGATAACCTCAGGCTTCAGAGAGCGCCTATACCCCTTGTACCTTTGGATTTAAGAGAAGCTTCTTTTTTTTCTTTAATTCTGGGGATTGAGCTCAGGGCCCATACACTGAGCTACATACCCTGCCCTTTTAATTTTGTAAAATTTTGAGATTAAAGTCTTGCAAAGTTATACAGGATTGGCTCAAACTTGCAACCCTCCTGCCTCAGCCTCGCAGAGTGCTAGTATTGCAAGTGTGTACCACTATATTTGGTTAATAGCTTTATATATATATAGTTTTTTTGTACTGGGAATCGAACTCAGGACTTTGCACTCCAGCTAGGTGCTTTTGCTGCTGAGCTATGTCTCTGAGTCAGCTAACAGCTTCTTGATTGCTGATTTCTGGTTGCCTATCCCGTCTTTTTTTGGTTCTTTCAGTTCCCTGCCACATCTTTGTAAAGTTTCTCCTTTACACACTCTTCATTATTCGTTTAAGTGTGTCATCTGTTTAAATGGGACATAAGTACCAGTTCTAGTAAACTTGTGGAGTTGGATTAATTTGAAGGTAAAGAATTAGGACTATAGAAACTAAGACTTACTTGCTCCCTTTTCTTTTTCTTTTTGGAGACAAATTCTCCTTATATAGTTCAGTTTGGCCTTGAACTTGGTAATAGCCCAAGCTGGTCTCAAGTGATCCTTCTTCCTTAGCCTCCTAAGTGCTGGGATTGTAAGTATGCACCACCATGCCTGGTTGAGAGCTGGTACTTTTTTTTTGACAAGTATGGCTATGGCTATAAAAAGGAACAGAAAACCTGAGGAGAAGGTAGACATTACTGAACATAGCAAAAGATTTTTTTTTTTGACATGGTACTGGGATTGTATCCGGGGTCTTTGCTCTGAGTTACATCTCCAGCCCTTTTTTGAAATTTAATTTTTGTAAATGAGCAGAGGTTCACTTTGGCTCATGTTTGATAGTAATTTTGAGATAGAGTTTTGCTAAGTTTTTCAGGCTAGGCTTGAACTTGCTTTAGCCTCCCGTAGTGCTGCAGTTACAGGCATATGCCACCACGTGTGACTTGATGGGTTATTTTTTAAGAATATAAATACAGGAGATGATGATACATTTTTTTTTTTTTTTTTTTGTCTTTTTCTTTTTTTATCGGTACTGGGGATCGAACTCACAACCACACACTTGCAAGGCAAGCGCTTATGCCGCTGCGCTAAATCCCCAGCCCCTGATACATATTTTTTACGTGATAATGGGAATAGTCCTGTGGAGGAGGAAAGATTGGTGGTATAGGAGAGTGGATGATGAAAAGGAATTTTTTTTTTTGGTTGGATCAAACCCTGGGCCTTTCACATGCTAAGCAACTATCACTGAGTTGTATCCCCATCTCTACTATTTTCTTAATGAAAGTGTCTTAAGTTAAAAAGTGTTTGATTATGTAAGGATTAAAGAAAAAGTATCATTACAGGGAACTTACAGAGTAGCGTCACTGAATTTGCAGTTGTTTCATATGAATATATGACACTAACCGGTCTTCCTGGAGGTGTGACCTCTCCAGTGTTCCGCTGCTCTGTTGCCGTCATTGGGAAGATTGGCTGCAGTTAGGAGAATGTGAAGGAGCCAAGACATGGGTGACATTGAGTGAAAGTAGTGATTATATTGATAAATTGTGAAATCTGAGTTGGAGAACAAAGGAAATAATGTCAGGAAACTAATGCAAAGAAAGTGAAGGTTTTCTTAAGTTGGTCTTAGAACAAAGAACTATTTTTGAGGGCACAGTTGAACAAGTGACGTGGAAAAATTGAAGTTTTTACTGTTTATTTTCTCTGCTTTCTGATGTACTGAATATCTCATGAACAGAATATCTTCTTAATATGCACAGACTTAAACATTTAGCTGCCATTGTAAATAGACAATTTTAACGTGGCTAAAGAGATTGGAATACACTCATGCAAAGCACTTTGTAGGACTTATGACTGTGCTTTCAAACATGAGCTTGAGTCTATAACAAAATTTTTGTCTATTTGATAAATACAAGTATCAGTCAGCTTCCTTTGTTCACTTTTACTTTCTTTAAATAGGACACAAAATAATTTCTTGGGATAATACCTGGATATATTTAGCATCTTTCTAGGAAATTTGTGACATAAGGTCTAAGCTTGTTTTTCCTTAAAACAGTTAAAAAAAAAAAACTCCTTCATTAGCACAACCTCTTTGGAAAAAAGTTTGTAGGTTCTCTTACACAATTAAACATACACTTACTATGATCCAACAGTTCTGATCCAAGGTACTCATTCAAGTGAAAAATTATAGTCACGCAAAAACTTTTATGCTTATAGAACTGGAAATCAACTGGTAAACTGATAAGCTTTGGAACAGTAATGTAATAATACTGTTTGGCACTGTGCACAGCAACATGGGTGAATGTTAACTGCATTGCGTTAGATGAAAGGAGCCAGACTCAGCCATAAATGATTCCATTTTTATGATATTCTACAACAGGCAACACCATAAGGACAGAAGGGAGGGATCTGACCACAAAGAGCAAGAAAATTTTTGTATCTATTCTATATCTTGATTTTGGTGGTGGTTAGATAACCATGCGTTTTTCAAATTAAGCAGTGTACCTAAGAGTGAATTTTAGTATATACAAATTCTACCTCAAAGTTGCAGCCTGTATTACTATATTTAAAAGTGTTTTGGAAGGCCATGGATATAGCTCAGCAGCATAACTACCTATGTGGTAAGCAGAAGGTCCTGAGTTTGATTCCTGGTACAAACAAACAAAAAAAAAACTTTAAGAATTTTCTCCAAAAAAAAAAAAAGTATTTTAGGAATTTTCTCAGAAATATCTCAAAATATTTTGTTGGATTTTAGTTTCTACTTTAGTTTTTGGGGGAAGAAAGAGTGGTGGATAGGCATTATCAGTGTTGATAAAATTCTTGAAAACATGTGAATGCTGAATACCTAAACACTTGGCAAACATTCCTCTCATATTTAAAGGAATTACAATGTTAGGTTTAGAGCGGCTCAAGAGACATTATAAAATGTCTTCATTTTATAGATAACCTAAATCCTAGGTAGATTAGCTACAGTCATAGTTTGTGGCAGAGATAGGTTTAGAATTGAGGTTTGAAATACTAATTTGACACTCACTTTACTAACATTTTACTTTTAATTTCAAGTTATTTTCTCCAGAGACTATTGTTAATTCCTTTAAAGAACTTTTCAGTTGTGTCATCTTAAAACTGGAAACCACTACCTTCCTAGTAATAGAAAAGTCTGGTTGATAATAGAAGAGCTAAATTTTGAGGGATCCCATATCACTTAAGTTGGTACAGAAATCATCAACAAATTCAGTTACAAAGACACTTTTCTTTGGGATGCTTATTTTTATAGTTATCCTGTGTTGTCAGTTAAAAAGACAGTTTGTAATCTTATTGCACTAAAAGTCTTTTTGAGTTATCATGATTGTTGGTTTATTGGCACAGCAGAGGTGTTTTAAATGTGTTAGATTCTTTTGGTTGCCTCAAGTGATGAGGACATAATGTTGAGAGATGTCAGAGAACATTAGAAACCATCCTTAATAGCTATGCATTCTGTAAATGGGAATGGAATGTCATTCAGAATATAATAGCAGCTTTAGTTGCTCTCTGTTCTTGAGACCCAGCTAATTTTCACTTAGCTGGGTCTTCTGGGTTCATTCCTGCTTGTATTGAAGTTTTTTAGGTGCTCCTGGACCTCAATTCTAGAATCATCCTTAGAGTTCCTATCTCTGAGATACTGATGATATTGTGAATATTGCAGATAAAATTAGACAGCTAGTGGGTATTTGTGTCCTCCAGCCTAACTGGGAGTTGCTGCTTAAAGGGCATAGCTCTAGGCAGAATTGGCAAGTTATTTTCAACCCAACTTTGTAAGTAGGGGAATCCTACGCTAGCCCTAGTTCTGACAGGTTCCCTATCTTATATAGAGCATTTTCCCTGTTCCCCAAGATAGCTAAACTTCAGGTGATACCATTTCTAGACCAGAAGCCCTTGGCTTCAGTCATGATTTCAACTTTGTGTTTATATTCCCTAAAATTGCTTAAAAGATACTTATATTATTTTTTAGCTAGCTGTGCATTATTTATCTGGTGCATTTATAGACTGGTTTATTATTTGCATGAGTTTACTATGCTTTCTTGGCTGGAAGTTCTTTAATCTTTCAAATTCATTTTCATTAAAATTATAGTCTTTAGTTATGAAGTTAAACACATATACACATAAATTCTTAGGAGGATCTAGCATATAGAGGGCACTCTATATGTGGCA